CCAGAGTGGCCCCAGAGCCGATCTGAACGCTATGGAGAACAGAAATTGGAATAGAACTCCGATCCCTCGGCCGCCAAGCCCCCGCAGCTCGTCGCTATACCGACTGAGCTATTCCGTCTTCCCATCAAATTCAATTTCTCGATATAAATATAGCAGTCTTTCTGAAACTCTTAAAGTTACTGGGATTCATATTTTTACGAAGCTTGCTTTTAAAATAAATTCTGGGAAGAATAAATAGCCTACTTTCAATTGTTACGACACGGAAGGTATAGAAAACGATGCGACCAACAATTCTTCTACTGTTGCGTGCTGGCACGGGAACGTGTTTACCGAGCCGTTGCCTAGCAACGACAGGCGGGATGGACATACAGAGACACAGACTGATGGAAGAGATTTAGGAAGTATGCCGTTGAGATGGGCTCAGATTCCAGACACATCAAATTTCATAAACACTTGTTCAGGCATTCAAAAGTTGATGGGAGGATACACAACACTCAGAAAGCAAGGTGATCTCATAAGCCTACTTTTATTTTATCAAAATAAGGAAAGTAGGCTACTAATAGCAGATGAAATTCGAAATTAGTTTTATAGGAAAGAATGGAACATCTTTTTTATTGCTAGTGGGGTGGGACTAAGTCCCTTGTACTGCGGCCACTTCTGGCCTATTGTACCAGCCCCAGATGATAGGTGAGGGTGATTGTGGAGCAATTGGTGGAATGAAGAATGGTAGGGGAAACCGAAGTACTCGGAGAAAACCTGCCCCAGCGCCAATTTGTCCACCACAAATCCCACTTGACCAGACCCGGGTTCGAACCCGGGTCGGCGCGATGGGAAGGCAGCGACTAACCGCTTGAGCTATGACGCCGCCTAAAGGATGGAATATAATACCAATAATGACAGAGCTGAGTAACAGGCACGCTAGCTACAGACATATATATTACTCGTTGCCAAATGGAAAAGTTTGAGATACACCTGGATATACAATGCATAGCCACCACACAAGGAAACAGCACACTGAGTGACACGAGAATTTGTAGCGACCACTGACTGTTACGTAATAAAACGGGGAAAAGTCTGAGCAATTAAGGACGTAATGGATGCGGGTAATAACGGTATATACAAAAATATATATAACAGGAACGACACAGTTGTGAGGATAGAAACATAAGTTTCAACGTCATAATATTGAAAATAATTTCAATTATGAACTACAACACATTTTGGGGCACACTGTAGCGTGGCTGGTTCAGGCACTATGCTACAAGCCGCAAGATCGTGGGTTCTATTCCCGACAAGGTCACTGGATTGTTCAATTTACCTACTCCTTCCAGCCGCACTATGGTCCTGAGGTCGACTCAGCCTCTAACAGAAATGAGTATCAGGAATATTCCTGGGAGGTAAAGGGCGGCCGGAACGTAAGGCTGACAGCCTAACCGCCATTTGTGAACCGATATTCTAGAAAATATGGGAGCCTCAACGTCTCACAACCTTATGGGCTTCCACTGCCTGTTACAAGGATAGCTTTACCTCTTTCTTTTATGATTTTTTACTTTTCCGGAATTGTATTAATTTTGTTTTCTGGCGATTCACAATTATGTATAGCAATGTTGTTTTAATAATGGCGGCGGCCGAGAAAGCACCGAAGCCCTCTGATTCCTAAACAGACACGGTAATTATCACATTTATTTATAATCGCAACCTTTCACCAGAAATAATTCTGAGTATGGAGCACAAAGGGCTCTGACGATGGTGTGTAGCCCTCAGAATTACTGGGTTTTTGGACTTTGTCCACTGTCCGGCATTCTAAAGAACATAGCGTTTCGGGAACTGAATTTATTTCTTTCCTCGGGTGATCGGATAGGAGACACCTAATCTGTTGGATCCGTTAAAAAAGCTAACCTCAATAACGTGTCCTGCAACGCTGTGTTCTTCAGAATACCGGATGTTGGACAAAGTTAAAAAACCCAGAATACCGGAACCCACCCGATTTGATTGCTGATGTTGATACTGAATCGTGTGGATATGGGCAGTTTTGTCAACGTTACGAAGGCACATTATGCCTCCATCTTCAGAATCGAATTTAGTGTTCACATAAAGGATTCGGTCAAGAGGACCGAAAGGGAGAATGGTGGGGAATAGTTATCGGTCCTGACAAATAGGAACAATGAACATAAGAAATGACACTAAAATCGGCCATGCATCCTTTCTGAACTATCTGTTTCACTGTTACTGCGCTTGTATGACACTCCACTGTTTCTCTTTATGCTCTTTAATTCATCATATTTAGATGCGGAATTTCAAATACATGAAAAAAATTAATTTCTCTTTGAACTTGATAGTATAATTATCACAACCATAATATTAAAAGAATATTCAATTTTAAACGAATACATTAATTTTTAATTAATTGTCAATGTTTAATTTTGTACATATATTATTCCAAAATACTATACATAAAATATAATTTCACAGTAAACACTAAACTGAATAAATATTAATTATTTTATAAAGCAACAGACGCCTGGAACCTATCACATGATACCATTTGTTAAAAGAAAAATTAATTTATACTAGCAACGTTCATGCGCAGATGCGCGTGCATAAGGCCAGGGCGAAAGACGATTCGATCTGGCCTACAGCCGTAGATTTCATGATCTATGCAGCTCTCGACTTGAAACTTGTAACTTCCCCCAATATCCGATGCGACTGGCAATGCGGCAACCATCAAAACTCGCATTCAACAGCTGTTAGCTTCAAACCACACCAGGGACATCAGTTATTCTGAGGTTTGCGTGGCTTCCGTCGTTCCCGTTAGGAAAACTCTGGATAGTATATCCACTAATTCACGACCGCTTCCTACCAAATCCCTTCCAATTCATCTATCACCTTAGCATTCCATGCTACTTAATCTAGATAATGCGGCAAATATAAAAAAGGTAACGCTATCCCTGTAACAGGCCGCGGAGACCCATAGGGTTGTGAGACGTAGAAGCTCCTTCATTTTGTAGACAATCGGCTTACAGATGGTGGTGAGGTCAGCCTTACGCGCCAGCCGGCCGCCCTTTACTCTCATNTGTAACAGGCCGCGGAGACCCACAGGGTTGTGAGACGTCGAGGCTCCTACATTTTGTAGACAAACGGTTTACAGATGGTGGTGAGGTTGTCAGCCTTACGCGCCCGCCGGCCGCCCTTTACTCCTAGGAAGATTCCTGGTACTCATTTCTGTTAGAGGCTGAGTTGACCCCAGGGTCATAGTGCGGCTGGAAGGATTAGGTAAACTGAAAATTCCGATCACGTCACAGGGGAATCGAACCCGCGGGCTTCAGGCTTGCACCAAAGTGCCTCAACCAACCACGCTACAGTGCGGCCAAATCTAGATAATGAAAGAGTTGCGAAGTAACTCTCCTAAAATATCACTCAAGAGCACTTATGAGTTCACATTTTGTTGCAAAGAAAATATATGCCATGAATTCAGTTCCTACATTCAGCAACAGACATTTGAGTATAATGTACGATCACATTTTTCTATTTAGTTATGTCTTAGTGATAACAGTAATAATTCAATCCACTTCAATTCTATTTATGTGCCGAGTCGACAGTTACAAGGCCAGTTACAAAAACAGCATAGTGCAGATAATAAAAGCAAAAAAAACCTTCGTGGTTTTAGCCCGTACGCGAACTATACCGACCGAGCGACTGCCACTTGTCGGCGAAGTTAGTACCAACTTTGGCGGATAGAGGGCGTCCCCACGCCCGTTAATTTCGGTTTTCTAGAACGGAGCAGCTATATCCTTGAAATAGCTCCTCAATTATCCTCATGAGGCTGAGTGGACCCCGTTCCAGACCCACTACTCCTCAGAAAATCTGATAGCGCAGGGAATCGAACCCGGGGCTTCTGGATCAGTAGCCAGGAACTCTGAGGACTAGACCACAGAGGCGGTCACCACCACCACCACTACTACTACTACTACTACTACTACTACTACTACTACTACTACTACTACCATTAGTGGTAGTAAAAAATCATACTTAAGGTCAATATTTAAAAAAGAACTAACATTTGACGTCCTGAATTTATGAGTTATCTTAATGTCATCTCATCTCCTGGCAAGTGATATGTACTTACACTAAAGCCCTATCTCATACCTTAAGAGAACAAAGGCGTAAAATCCTTTTCCGGCCCATTGTGGACGAAAACCATTTGTTAACGGTTAACATTGCTTAAAACCACACTTCTGGTTTAGACAAGCTGTTCTTTTTGACTGAGGATGTATTTATTTAAATGTTAAATTATGTGATACTTCGACTGTAACAACTAGACACACAATACCAAATTTAATCAAAATCCATTAAATGATTCGAAGATTAAATATTCGTTAAAGGTAGACTGACCACGTAAATGTAGCTATATCGCTTTATCTTTGCTAAATGAATTAAATCTCTGCAGTAATATTTAGACACCCAATGCTAAATTTAACCTAAATCATTTCATGAATTTCGGAGAAGACATATTGTTTTCTCCTAGTGCAGATATGTTTATTTATAGCCGAAACAACGGAACTTTGGCACTGATATTTAAGACACCCAATGTCATATTTAATCACAATCCATTCAGTAATACTGGAGAGAGAAGATTCCTTGAGGACACTCTGCCCCTTTCTACTGTATGTATTATTATTCTTTAATGTCGATTAAATTATACGACGATAATAATCTATGCAACTACTACCAAATTTAATCAAAATCCGTCCAGTAATTTTGGAGATTAAACATTCAGACGAGCATACCGACGGATATGACTTTTCTCGCTCACGTATAATATTTTCACTTTTAGCCTAGATCATCTCGAAACTATATATTTAAATTTATTTTCAACATACAATGAATTGATTCAGCACATTGCACTGCTGAGTACAAACTTCGGTATATTTCTCAAATGACCCAATAAAATGACGCCAATAACTCATCCCTATCACTGAGTGCATTCTTGTGACACTTACCTTCACTTTCCTGCATTTTCTGGCAGCGATAGATCTTGATTTTTTCCTCAGTGACTCCAGAGGAGCAGTTTATTTAGAAGTATGGCTCAGGAAGAAAAATATGTATCACTGCTGACTGGAAACCAAACACACTTGTCACTACTTCCCCAATGGTTTCACTTATTACACTTTTGCATTAAAATGGATATCACACGTCAAGTTATTTAAAAAAAAAATTGGAATATTTCTGAAACTATATCGGCAGCTGATCAATAATCTGTCTAGAAAAATGATTTTCGAAAGAATGATGGTGGACAACAGCACGATATAATGAAACTGCTCGTTTTTTTATTTTAAACTAAAAAACGGAAAAAATATGTAAGAGAAATTTTAATTCCAATAAATGTTAAAAGCAACACCACTTCACTCTGCGAAGTCCAGCAGATTCTAACGCGAGACTTAAAACAACAGAACAACGAAACACGAGGGCAACACGTAGCAAACAAATGAAGAGCGACTAGCGGTCCGTTCCCAGCATCTCCCAGTTCGCGTCTGATGAGATCAACACATGCGTCTCGACGCCGGCGTCTCTCTCTCTCCTCCATCCCTCCCGCGAACCCCCTCTCAGTTCCCCCAATCTTCATATACCGATGCATCAGAAATCACCACAACAGCTGATAGCACAACTGTCATGCTGTTTTTCTCCAAAGCTTAGTTTGTTCATTGATCTACAGATTGCCTACCGAGGGACGGTCTCAGCCTCAGTAGTTATGAACTGTGACATGATATTAGGATTCTGATCTGATCGCGGTCTGCTTGAAGCCCAGGAATTCGTTAGGAGCGGCAGAGAAAGACACGAAATGGAGTTTATAATTGACGGTTGCCCAGCAGATGTCTGAAATTCATGCCTTTCGGAAACGCAGGCTTTCAGTTTCTGGATTTAATTATTCATTTGTCCTTGGAGTATATTGTGAACACAAAAGCCTTTCAGTTCACCATAAGCAGACCTAACGTATGAATTTGGCTTAACCCCCCCCCCAAAAAAAAAACATGTCACCAAGGACTGAAAGACAAACAGGAGACGAAAAGATAAGAAAATAAAGAGGAAGAAATAAAACTTAATGAAAAGGTAAAGAGGAAAGAATGAAAAGGAGGGTCAAAAAGTATGGAGGTATGAAAAAGAAACGGAAAATTACGTGTATAAATGGAAAAAGGAAGAAGAGAAACAGGAAGAGTGAACGGTGAAGTAGGAGAAACTCAAACGATTCGGCGAAAGAGAATAATATTGGAGCGATACGGATATAAAGTAAAATGAGGACGAAGTAGGGGTAAAACAAGAAGGAAATGAGTCAGAAAACGAGAAGGAAACCGGTAATGAAACGATTAACGCGAAGAAAAAGGACAACGATAAGGGGGAAAAAGATTAAGAAAATGAGGAACAGACAACTGAAGAATCACAAGTTTCTCAATCAGTGACTTGTGGGAAGTGAGGCCGCGCTGTCACTTACACAAGTTTCTCGGTAAAGTTGGTGACATTCTTCCAGACTACACAGTCATACATCCACATCCTTCTCTTAACGCTCCATATTCTTTTCTTTCTCTTCCTCATTCTTTATCTACTTGTTTTTGTTCTTCTCCTCCTTACTCCTCTTCATCTCTACGCCCATCTTCTACCCTGGATATGGAGGCAACAAGGTCTCGGATTGCACGCTGTCACATCCTAGAAGAAAGTAGGCCTAAGCTTCCTACTGAGGCCGCGCCATAGCTCAAGTGGTTAGTCTCTGGCTTCCCACCGCGGCGGCCCGGGTTCGATCCTGGGTCTGGTCAAGTTGGATTTGTGGTGGACAAAGTGGCGCTGGGGCAGGTTTTCTCCGAGTACTTCGGTTTCCCTCGCCAATCTTCATTCCACCAATTTCTCCACAATCACCCTCACCTATCATCTGGGGCTGGTACAATAGTCCACAAGTGGCCGCAGTACAAGGGACTTAGTCCCACCCCACTAGCAATAAAAAATACTTTGCGCCTAATTCTCTTCATCAACGAAAGNAAAAAAACTTCCTACTGCCTATCCAGAAAGGAAGGTGCCACCCAACTCCTATCTCACCCTTTGTAAGTGTATCTGCCCAGCGCCGAGTCGACCAGTTTCATAACAAATGTTAACAAACATATATAAATCGCGGTCATAAATATACTGGCTCTTCGCAGGAATCCCTGACTGACATCTCCACATAAATGTTTGACACAAATGTCTCTGAAGTCAATAAACATGTCATTTCACAAAGATTTAACACTGATATATTCAGAGCATGAAAAAACTTTATCACTGTTATAAATTTAGCTCTTGGACGTGTATATCTTGTGGAAGTAGGCAGTGTTTCCGATGTTTCGGAGGAACGTACTATTTCCATCTTAAGAGTCAAGCATTTGGGTAGGCAGGTTTCTCTGTGTATACCGGTTTATGGCAATAGCACTTTCTGCATTACTTCCAATAAACGATCTACCCGGAGGAGACAACCTGGAGGGTGGTGCCCAGTCCGACAGGGATAATGCACAAGGAAAGACGTGAAAGGAAATAAACTGACCTTTCAAGAGCCACAGAACGCGACTGGAGTCTTTTCTGTATTCCGTAGCCCTCCATCGCAACTTAATCAGCTCACTATCCATGTAGGTGTCAAGGCTGTCGGTATAGCGAATGGCTACGAGCTGGAAGAACGAGAGGTCGGAGTTCGAGTCCTGACAGAGTCAATATTTCTCTCTTCTCCATGTCTTCTAGACCGGCTCTGGAGCCTTCCCAGCCCCTTATCCAGATGGTACCGGGGCTCCGTCCTCGAGAGTAAAAAGGCAGGGGCGTGAATCTAACCACTGAACTCCAAATAGTGTCGAGGTCCCCCATACACCTTCATGGCACAGTACTTAATTAGTTAAGCACAGGGACAACATTTACTATCCACGTTGACACGGACAGAGCAGTAGCCCCAAACTCTACCTCTTCTCGAGACATAAACCTATAACATACAAAGAAGCTCGACTACTCTATACACTTCGCCTCCAAATTCAAGTAGCATATGCCTCCGAAACGTCGGAAACACTGCCCATATCCATAAGCCCTAAACACTCAACAATTCGTAAAATCGTTTCGGGTTCTCAGGCATGTCTCTTGGTTAAAATTATCGACGTTTAAGGGACCGCATATGTCCACACTATCACGGTCAGAGACGGTCTCTGAAACGTCGGTAATCTTGAACCATCTCACACGGTTGATAGCCCGAGAAGCTTCATGTATTTCCCATGAACTGACATCAAGAGATCCGCAGTGAAAGCCTGAAAACAGCCAACTTGAACATTGCCTGAATGAATGTATGCAGGTCAACACGGAAATACAGAGCGCAGTGACGTATCGGTAACGGGAGTTGGTGGGTTCGGATATCGCCAGGGGCACTGCCTATCCTCACACAAGTAATTCATGGTTTTCTTCAGTCCCTATATACAAGAGGCGAGGTATGTCCTCCATGAGGCCAGGACCGCTTCCTTCAAACTCATTTCCAGTCTATCAATCATCCTACTGTTCTGTACAGTTCGGCTACTGATTCCATGGAGCTAAGCCCTTTGTGTGAGTCGCCAATTGTGCCACTACTCAAGAATTTCCCAACATTTTATTGAACTCGAAGGTTCATTACCGCGTTGTCAGGATCCCCCCACTAGACCAAATCAAGAAAAAGATCAATCCAGTCCATACCATCCCATCCTATCTAATATCCATTTTAATATTATCCACCCACCTACGTCTTGGTATTCCTAATGGTCTTCTTCCTTCTGGCTTTCCCGCCAATATCCTATATGCATTCCTCTTCTCCCCATTCGTGCCAAATGCCATGCCTATCTCATCGTCCTTGACTTGGTAATTCCAATTATAGTTTGCGAAAAGTACAAGTTACGAAGCTTCTCATTATGCAGTTTTCTCCAACCTCCTGTCATTTCATCTCTCTTCGGTCCAAATATTCTCAAACAATCTCAGTCTGTCTTTCTCACTTAATGTCAGAGGCCAAGTTTCACACCAATACAGAAGAATACAGGTAAAATTAAAAAGTAAAGCTATCCCTGTAACAAGCCGTGAAGGCCCATAGGGTTGTGAGACGTTGAGGGTCCCACATTATCTAGACAATTGGCTCAAAGATGGCGGTAAGGTTTTCAGCCTTATGCACCGGCCGTGCTTTACTCCCAAGGAAAATTATTTAATTAATTCATGGCACTCATTTCTGTTAAGAGGCTTAGTTGACCCCAGGGCCTAGTGATGCCGGAAGGATTAGGTCAATTGAAAAAAATCCAATGACCTCATCGGGACTTGAACCCGCGACCTTCCGGCTTGTAGCATAATACCTTAACCACTACGGTACCGCGTACCCCTCCCCCCAGGTAAAATTATAATTTCATATATTCTAATTTTTACGTTTTTATACAGCATATGAGAAGACAAACTATTCTTTCTGACATTTCGTTGCAAGTATATTTTTTACGGTGAGGAGTTATTAGCACTGTGTCCAACCCATAAGCTGGGGGACCACCCTTTGTCGGCTGCCCACGACTGCTTATTCAATATATTTGCAGCTACCCTCCATATCTAGAGACCGTCTCCTCCATCCGCAACCTGAGGACGCGCCATGTCGTGGTGACAAGAGACTCACCTAACTACTGACAGCGCAGTGAAGTCAGCCACAAAAAAATATTATGAAAGAAACCCAGGTGTGAAACAAAGAAGAGACAAAGAGAGTTTTTGGATCTTTAAGTGCGAACTTCTGAGGTCACGAACCGAAATCCAATTTCGCAAGCCACGCACTGATCAGGATCAGAGTTGAGATTCTCACGGAGAAGTGACGCCGCCGTGTAGTTTGGTAGGCAGATATAAATGTTTCAGACCTGTTGCCCTCACCTTCAGTGTAGAAGAAGATAAAAGATTGAGGCAATAAGTCAATTTCCTTAGCCCGCACCTCGCACTTATCTCAAAATTTGGTCATGTTATCATATAGACTCTCAAGTTGATTACCTTTCTGCAATTTAGCTGAGGCAATATGCTACAAGCTGGAAAGTCGTTGCTTCGGTTCCCGATGAGGTCATTGGAGTTTTCAGATGACCTAATCCTTCCAGCCTCCAACAGAAATGAGTACCAGGAATCTTCTTGGGGGTAAAGGGAGACCGGTGCTTAAGAGTGACCTCACCGCCATACGTGAGCAGATTGTCTAGAAAGTGTGGGAGCCTCGACGTCTCACAACCGTCTCCACGACCTGTTACATTTACAGTTCTCCCCACCCCAAAACTATTGTGAGAGCTTCCATAGAGCCCCCCACTGTCCAAAATTACGTTACGTTGGCTTATTTCGACTCAGGTCGACACAAAGGATCTTTTGAACACCCTGTAGAATATCTTGGAGGACGCCACAAAAAGCTCACAACAAATGTATATGAACCGGCCAGAATTCAAGCGGAAGATGTTAGGGTCCAACCAGTCTGGGGCCGAAACATGTCACCGCCCTGTCGTACTTT